GGTTGGGGTGGTCTTCACCAGAAAAATAAGAACAGTATATTTAACATGCTTGCTTTAAAGATCTGGCCTTTATTTTTAGGTCTCGGCCATGGTAGTTTTTGGTTATTTTGGGGGGGTGGGGGTGTTTGTTTTTGGTGTGTTTTGGGTTTTGTTTTGTTTTTTTTTTTTTTTTTTGAGGCAGGATCTCGCTATGCAGTTCAGGCTCAAGTCGGTTTCGAACTCACTACAGAGTCCCAGCTGGCCTCGAACTTGTGGCGTGCCTCCTGCCTCAGCCTCCAAAGTGCTGGGATTACAGGTGTGTGCGACCATGTCCGGCTTGTCAGAACTTTTTTGAAGTTAAATTATTTGATGAAATATTGAAGGTTCAACAGGGCAAGATTAAAAGTCAAGAATCCCACTCTGGGATCCCAAATTCACAGAAACCCTTAAGTTCAAAATTGATCTCAAGACCCTCTTGCCTCCGAATACAACGCAGGCCGGTCCGACCCACCTGGAGCTGGTGAGGACAGGTGACAGCAGAGACGCCGAGGGACCTTCACGCGCCTGGCGTGGCCGTGGGAAGGGAGCGACTGAGGCGGCGACAGCAGGGGGCCCCAACCCGGCTCAAGAAATCCTACCCACTGATTGGTCACCGCGACCGGAGCTTCAGCCAATCCCAAGAGCGCTTGGAAGCAACTGCCAATGGGCAGAGCGGAGCCAATGGACCGCCGTGTTCTAGCTCCCGCGAGCTATACCTCCAGCCGAGCTGCAGGCCGGCCGCGGAGGCGCGAGGGGAAATCCACAGCGCCTGGCGGCGGCGCCCGGAACTCCGCTGCGCGGGGGCAGCAGGGAGGTTTCTGCCTCGAGCTGCCGGGGCCTGGCGGGCGGATGGCCGGGCGCAGCAGAGGCGGGTCCTCTGGGCCCGCGGGCGAGGGTGGGCGGGCGGAGGCCTTTTGTGAAGTCAGTGGGTTCTGGCTTCCAGGGGCGCCGTCTCACCGCATCACCGCGGGCTGCCCGCCAGCCTCCCCCAGGCGACTGCAGCGCAGGGCACTTGGTGATTGTCACGCACTCCAAGAACGTCCTTGGAGCTGGGTGTGGCTTGGGCCTGTAATCCTAACACCGTGGGAGGCAGAGGCAGGAGCATCTCAAGTTCCATCCCAGCTGGGGAAATTTACAGACTTGGCAACAGCCTGCCTTAAAATAAAAAGGGGTCGAGGAGGGATGTAGCGCAGTCCGAAGGCCACAGGTTCAATCCCCGTTAACATACTCCCTAACCATTGGGAGGCCTACCTAAAAATGAGCGCAGCTCCAAGTTGGCGCAGGCTGGCAGCCCGCGATTCTGAGCAGTGTCCCGGATGTGCTCCCCAGATCTTCCTACCAGCATCTCGAGGCCTGAGCCTCGGGACCAGTTAGTAACCTGTGGAGTGGAGTCAAACCCTCTGAACCACCTTCTGTGCTCAGAATAGGAGCCCACTGGGCCTCGGCCAGGTAAAGACGTGGTTCAAGCTGCTCAACAGTGACCCGCACTGTCTACTGCCCATCTCGCCTCGTGTCCTGGACGATGCCTTCACAGCACCTAACTACATATACGAGACACCTACTGTGCGCCCAACACGGGGCTGGAAGGGAAGATTGCAGGGTTAGAAATCAGAGGCTGGAAGACCAAATAGGAGGCCACGTAGCTTTGAGGTGGGGTGGAACTCGTGTTTATTTGTAGCAGCAGGATCAGAGAGGGCGTGAAAATGACAGAAAGCAAAGTAGGAATTGAAATTTCCTCAACTCAAACCAGAAGACAAGAAACTCGGGCGGCCGTCTCCTGAAAGGACAGTCAGGTGTCCCGGTGGAGATCTGTGAACGGTGGGAAGTCTGGATTAAAGTCCCCATGAGACTAGAGATGATGCTGGGCATTTTCAGGACATACGAGGACGGAGCCCTGAGTCGTCTGAGAACCCTGAGATAGTACACGGGCTCATGTTTCAGTAGGAGGGACCTAACGGCCCTCACAGTTAAGCCATCGTGACCTCAAGTCAGAGAGAGGAGCAGATGAGACAGGAGAGCGGGTGGGGAAACAAAAGCGTGTTAACTTTTCGTATCAGCAAAGGGGCACAGCACAGCTCCCTGCTGACGCCTGCCCCTCACAGCCCACAGTCACAGGCTTCGGGGCTGTTCTGGAAGTAAAGTTTTAGGAAATTTTGAAAGTGCTTCACGTCCATGAAGAGGGCTTTAACTGCGGGATCTTGCTTCATGGCTGCCATCCAGAGCTGAAGTTTTGGAGTTTGGGCTGCCCACCTGCGGGAGGAAAGAAGAATGAGAGGTGTGAGCGACCTAGGTAGAGACTCCCCTGGAGCATCGTTATCATATGCAGTTGCCCTTTGCTTTCCCTTCACCTTTAAAAATATTTATTTTGCTGGGCATGGTGGCTCATGCCTGTAATCCCAGCCCTTGGGAGGCTGAGGCAGGAAGATCACCATGAATTTGAAGCCAGCTTGGGCTACACAGTGAGTTCAAGGCCAGCCTGAACTACATATTGAGACTCTGCCTCAAAAAAAAATAAAATAAAATAAAATAAAATTTTCTTTAAAAGCATCTTTAAAATGTGTATAGCACACATACTGGATTTGAAAGGTGTCAAAAATCTTTGATTTACAGACCAGTCTGAAATGAATGTGAAGTGACTTGATCAGTTAATGTGAAAACTTATCCAAGTTTTCAAGTGACAGACGGGCAACTTTTAAAACAGAACTTGAAAGACATCCAAGAAATTAAATATTACTTACTCTATCACCAGATTATGACTAAAAATAATCCTAAACAGCCCTAGTCTCTAAAAAACGGGAGTAAATCAAGGTGGCTGGCTGCTAAACCCAAAACAGAGTCTAGAAAAGCAGAAATCTCCCTGGTAAGTGGAAGGTAGCCCTAGTCACAGACTCCTGCAGCAGCGTCCCTAGGAAAATGTTCATCCTGATGGATCTGTAATGAACTTAAAAACAATCATCACCACAGAAGCCTCCTGCCCCAGGGGCTGGAGTAGGGAGTGTAGGTCTATGAGTGCTCTGGATAGCCCAGGGCTCTCCTATCTGCTTGCTCTCGCTCGGGTGTATTTTAACTTTTGTTCAGAAAAAAGTTCAACATATGCTATTGTAGCTGTCATCCTGTAAGCACAAAATACTCAAATGCCTTACTCGTTTAGCTCCAGCAATTCCAGCCGTTCAAACCAGGGCCAGATGAAGTAATCGGTCATAGAGATAGAGTTGCCGCCAAAGAAAGTTGTCTTCTTCTTCTTCAGAACCTGCACATCAAACAACATAACAGGGTTTACTCGTGTGTCTGGTAAGAATCGCCACCAGAGGGATGAAGGTAGATTTAGTAGAACAGGTTTATCCTGACATTTCCAAGCTGAGCTTTTGTGTGTTTGATCAGAAAGCTCAAAACAAAGGCTGGAGGTATATAGCTCAATGAGTATAGCACTTGCCCAGGATACTCAAGTCCTTGGGTTCAATCCTCAGTACCAGGAAAAAAGGAAATAAAAGAAAAATAATCAAATAGCTTTGGAGTCCGTTGCATAAAGCAAAGCAACAAAATAAAGTGGAAAAAAATGAGAAAGCTAATACAAAGAACAAGTATTCAGAATATATAAAAAACTCTGGCAAATCAATAAGAAAAATAGCAAAGAACTCATCCGATAAAATGAGCAATACTTGTACTTCACAAGAGAGGATGTCCAAGTGGCCAACAGTTGTTTTGTTTTTTTTTTTTTTTTCAGTAGTTGTTCAGCTGTATTAATCACCAGGGAAATGCAAATTTAAACCAAAATGCTGTCCAACAGGATGGCTGAAGGGAAGGAGATACAGCTGGCAAAGGTGTGTAACCGCTGTTGGTGGAAATGTAAATTGGTACAACTGTGTTTGAACAGTATGCACATCTTTGACCCAGAACTTCTATCTGGTAATATAGGTTTCCCAAAAGATATACAGAGAAATGTGTACTATATTTGCAATAGCGCAAACATAAAAATGTTTGTCAGAATTAGAATGAGCTGCTGCCCATGGTGCTTGTCTTAGTTACTTTTCTGTCCTTGCTGAGACAAAATACTCAACACCCAAAGTTACAGGGGGAAGGTGTATTTGGCTTCCAGTTTGTAGAGGTTTCATTCCATAATCGGCTGGCTCCAAGGCAGGGTGGCATGGCAGAGGGGTGTCACAGAGGACAAACAGTTCACAGCAAGAAGACAGCAAAAGCAAGCAAGGGACAATCACAGCTCTTTCCATCCCTTGTATCTTATCCAGGCTCCTTAGGGGAGGCAGCACTCACACCCTCAATCCTAGTGCCCTCGATCCTAGCATTGCTCCATAAATCAATCCCAGCACCACACACTCCAGACCCAGCCACCTCTGAAGAAGCCCCACCTACTAGGGCACGAGCCTTCGGGGGACATCTAGACACAAGCCATAACAGTAGTGGATGACTGTAATCTCAGCACTCGGGAGGCTGAGGCAGTAGGCTCACTGCAAGTACAAGGCCAGCCTGGGCTACACAGTGAGATCAGGGTCAGCCCGAGTTACACAGTGAGACCCTATTTCAAAAAAAAAAAAAAAAAAAAAAATAGAATGGATGCATTGTGGTACAGTCAAATTTTGGAACACTATACAAAGAATAGGAAAGAGCTATACAGCTAGATGAACATAATATTAAGCGAAAAAAAACAGATTCAAAAGAATGCATATTATATGATTCCATTTGTATAAAGTTCACAAACAAAACAGCCCAAACTAATTATTTGTTTCAAGATATAGGTGCTGGTACCATAACTCTGTTCACTTTATGAGTATTTGTCCAATTGTATTTCTATGCTTTGGGTACTTCTCTGCATGTCATTTTTTAAAAATAAAAATGTACAGGAAATAGATTGAATTAACTGTTAAAACAGTTGACAAGCATTTGAAAACCAAACCAAATAGGATGTTTCTAAAATTTAAGAAGGTGAATTGATATTAAGGTATTACTAAAGGAGACTGCAATATTATCCAGCTAGTTAAGCCAACACCATACCAATTTGCCCTTTATAAATAACATCTGCAGTTCTTCCCAGTCAATATTATGTAGACTGGTTGTTCACATCGACCTGTCTTCTGCCTATTATTAAGCTGTTATCATCTAGAGAATAAGGACTGTACCTTTCCAGCTCTGCTCCCACACGGTCAAGCAGAAAAAGATAAATTTCCAAAATGTTTTCAAAACAATAAATGTAAAACTCCCAAAATCAGTCATCACTAAAGAACTGAAATGGTAGTGAAAAACCTACTGCAAGAGACCCCAGGCTCAGATGTTTTAGGGAAACAGCCAATCCCTGTCAAATGGTTTCAGACATTAGGTAAATAAGGAAAGTAACCCAACTCATTTTAAGAAGTCAGAATTGATACCAAAACTGAAAAAAAGATACCATCAGAACAATAAAGTATGGGCCAGTACAACTTTTGAATACATACACAAAAATCCTTTAACTACTCATCCTATAGCACATGTGAAAGTCCGTCGAGAACAAGTAGGTCTTATCTTAGTAATACACCAGGATAATTCAACACCAGAAAAATCTGTCAGTAACACCATACTGACCGGACAAAAGGGGGGAAAAAAACTCTACAACCATTTCAATAGACATAATACATACCAAAAAAATTCACTCATTCCTCATGTAAAAAAAAAAAAAAAAAAAGCAAAGTAATAATAGAAACTTAGTGGGAAAAAAGGAGGTTTCAAGAAAAACTTTCATAAACTTGGTACTTATAAAATGTTAGGATCCATTCCCAGAAGAAGCAGCAGCTATGTCTTCCCTCAGGGAAGCTTCAGGTTGGCTGTAGATGGAACATCTCAAGGCCAAGAGGAAGGCTCTATCCCAGGGCTCAGATGACAGCTTTCCCCCAAAGAGAGGACACCCTGGGCCTTCTCATGGGTCTGTGATTTGTGGCAAAGTTTCTGCAGTGAGAAATGTTTTTTATCTAATATTAACTGGGAAAAAGAATGACACAGTCTGCTCTGATGAAAGTGAAGTTCCTTTTAAATACAAGGATGATGACTGGAAACAGGATTAGAAAAAAAATGGAAAGAGATGACAAATTATGGCAACATGGGCAGTATTTTTTTTTCCCTTGTTATTTTAATATCAACGCAGCAAAATATTTAAAAACGAGCCATAACACAGTTTGGTACCAGGCACCCATATTCATTGGCACTAAATTCTGGTGTTTTGGTTTATATTGAAAGCGGAACAGCTTATAGCAATCTGTTGGATTTTTTTTCCTTTGCAGTACTGGGGCCTGAACCCAGGGCCTTCACACTAAGCTACATCACCAGGCTTTTATTTTGTTTTTTTGAGACAGGGTCTCACTAAGGTTGAACTTGAGATCCCTCCTGCCTCAGCCTACCAGAGGGCTGCGACTATAGGTGTGAGCTGCTATATCCAGCAGGAATTACTTCTTTTATTTGGTATTATTCCTAATCACCATAAAAGTAACTTGGGAAATGAATGAAGACCAACTGGAAGAAAAAGGAGGGTAGATACAGGGTATATTATAATACTCTAAGCTGGGAGGAATGATTACCTCTTCTAGCTTGTTCATGCCTTTGTTCAATTCTTCTTTTATGCCAGAGCAGTCTTCTTTATTTTGCTGTAGTCTTAAAAAGCTCACCATCAGAGATGGCACCTAGACAGAGAACAGTGTTTAGTTCATCAGTGTGAGGCTAAGTACACTGGCCTCCTTACATGAGAGTATGATGGAACATGCACAGTCAGGGTATACCAAATCCCTGTGTTCAGCGAGGGCTTATGTTACAAACAGCTCCGTAGACGAAGATGTGTTGGTTAGGATTTTGTAAGTTACAAATCATAAACCCCACTTTGGTGAGTCTGAGTAAAAGCCTTTCTTTAAAAGACGGAGTGGCCCACAGAACTCAAAGGCTGAACAAACAGACTGGAACTCGGAACATTCCAAAACCCATGCCAAGAAGCGGCCTCGTGAAGCGGCCTTTGCTCCCATGCAGCGAGCACTCACACCACAGCCTGTACTTCTGCAGGAAGCAGGCTCTGAGCAACTGCCAGCAACACCAGCCCTGGCGCCACTGCTATTCTGGAATTCAACCCTGCAGCTGCCGCTGCTCCTCCCACACACTCTCAAGTCTCAGCTAAATGCTACAGTCTGTGTGCCTGGTAGGAAGCACTTTGACCCCAGGCTTGGCCCCAGCTGGAAGAGGAGCAGAGCAGGAGACCTTTTCTGACTTCTACCTTGGAAAGGACACAATAGATGACTGCGAGAGACTGAAGACCTGACAGATGGGCTCGTGCTGTGGTAGAAGTATCTACATGTTCCAATAAAAGCCTCTGAGACAATCTCGCGGTAAGAGAAGTCCACTCATCCCAACTTACAGAAGCATGTCCTTGTACAAACGAGAAATTCCTGAAATCCCAACCATGTCCTCACGGGAACTGCAGGCAGCCCTTCTGTACATGGTTCCACTTTCCTGCCTAGTCTTTCCTCCCTGCTTTTCCTCAAGCACAAGGGGTGATCAGAAAACATCACCCTTAAAAAAAAAATTACAGTAAACAAAAAAAAACCCACATTGCCCAGAACAATCAATAAATGTGTCCTAAGCAAGTGGGGGTACTCTAGTATCTTGAGGTGGACTAATGGCAATGCATCTTTTACTGTAATAAATGTTTTAAAATGCAAAATGTTCACTGTACTTTTTGTCCCACCCTGTGTCTGCGCCATATCATTTTCCATGTATCAGTTCCCTTTCCAGTGTTAATTTCTGCTCCCCCTAAAAATGTATTTTTAATGTGGCTTGGATGTTTCAACTCTCCAATAACTGTATGTATCTTCAAAGCTTTTCTATTGTCTTAGTCTCTGCGGTTCATTTCTAAGTTCCCAGAAGAGAAGATGGTGGCCAAGCGTGGCCGGGGCGGGGTGGGGTACATTCCTGGTCCAGCGAACTATGTGTGGCCTGGACTGTGGGGTCCTGTGGGACATACCCCAAGTCTTCCCCTGAAAGGGAACAGGGCGATCACGGCAGGCATCTCCAACTTTACTTGTCATGCTTATTTTCTTTCCTCACAGTATAGTGAATCTAATTTGTAAACTCACCAGCACCTCTTGTAAGTATTACAGGCACTTTCCACCAGCTTTGACAGCAGCCTCCTCCGGCAGTCCTGTGCCCTCATCCTGGTGAACGAGCTGACTCCCTCTACCTTCCTCCCCGCTTTGGAGTATCTCCTCAAACAGTATAGTCTCCCTATAACTCCCCCATCTTCTAGGTATTTTTAAAACTATTTTCCTATAAAAAATATTCCTCTCTACACTGACTGTACTAACCAGGGTAGTAGTTTCATAGGGATTCAGCGGGACATCGCTGTTCTTGTCATCTAAACACAAATCCTTTTGTCCTTTCTGTGGTGCTGCTGCCAGCTGCACTTCCCACACTGATGCTAATTAAGATGCAAACGCTTCTCCAGGCATCTGTTGTTCAGACAGATGAGCATTATGGTGAACACTATGCTCAGCGCTGGACTCTGGCTGTGACAACAAAAGCTAACACTGAATAGGAACCATGTGTCAGAACCTGCTCTGGGTGTTTCACATCAACTGATTTTTACCTTATAAGAATAATTATTGTACTTATTTGGATAATTGAAGGCCCTGAGAGGTAAAGTAAGAAGTAACTTTCTCCAAGGACACAAATGAAAATGGCTGAACAGGCCACAAATGTAAGCAGTAAACCAAGGGTGATCAAAACACAGCCCTCATGTAAGGGAGACCGGACAGTAAGACGAAAGCCTCACTGGTCTCTTCTGTGAAAGGCAGGGTGCATGCGTGCTGACATGCGCAGGGAGAAGTAAAGCGCTGAGATCCTCGTGTTTGCCCAGATAAGAACCATGGGTGGTAGGAGACAGAGGAACGCTCTTTTACTGGTTGCTTGTACCCGTATCTGAGTGAATAAAGCCAAGGTGCGCCAGTCACTCAGGGCTCTTTATGGAAAGGAGACAAGATCCCCGCAGCCCCACATTTTAACCTACTCTGTGTCTCTCTGTGCTTCACCTTTGAGGCCCCTAGGTCAGGTACAAGCTTGTAGGTCGGATCCTACACTCATCTTCATGGAGCTCACATTCCCCGTGCAGCACATGGGCAAAATGGCGGCAGTCATGCAGACCAAGTGCTCCGACTAGCAATGACTAGGAGAAGGTGGCCTATCTGTGAACACACAGTGAGAGCCCTAGCAGCCCAGGCAAGCTTCTGGCAGGCGGCAGTGCAGCAAACAGAGAAACAGGGAGGTAAACCAGCCAAGTGAGAAGAGGGAAGACTCCGGCAAAGCTGAGAGAAGCTATCGTGTTGGAGACCACTACAAAGTGGCTCTGAGCAGGATTTAATATTAACCAACTGGCTTTCGTGTTTACTTGTGAGTTGTCCGAAGCTTAGGCACCTTGTCTAGAGATGGGCAGTGGACTCATAGTAAGTAAACCTCTGTGAGTCACTGGTCACTGCTGAGGCTTGTATTGGCCTGTGAAGCTGTGATACCTCAAAGGACAAGATAAGGCCACAGCTGAGGACATCTGGCTCCAACTCCAATCAACTTAAAGGAGACTATAGCTGTAGGCATCTCACTCCTGCTGTGAAGGCCTTCCTGGAGATAACAGAGTTCTCCTAAATTAACATAACGTATTACTTGGAAAAGTCCTGCCCAGATTCCCTGTTTTCTTTAGTACCCCCCCCTTTGTCTGTAAACCACATAAATATGGGCCGCCCAGAGAAGTCTTGGTCTAAACGCAGAGAATAATGAAACTGTAAGAGAGTCACTCCCTCCTCGAGCCCTGAAATCATTTCCATTGTCTCATTTATTTAAGCCTTCACCGTCCACTCGCTTGGGAGATTGAGGGCCTGATCAGCCCGCAATAACTAAGGGTTATTTAACCCAATAATTGTATGTTGAATGCTGAAACAACCCAGTATGGCTGGACTACAGTCTCAGGAGAGGAGAAGGTCAACTTTGGAAGGTACGTGGGACTTAATTCACAGAAGGACTTCCGGGACATGTCAAAGTGACAAGAGGATATTCCTCTTTGGCTTTTCTCTCCCAAATGGCTGAGCTGTAAACAGTAGCACTGATTTAGCTTTTTTAAAAAAAATTTTTTTAAATAGCTGAAACTTCCTATCCACATACCTTAGAAAATAACTCGAAGATCATCTTTTGGCAAGCTTTCTCGTAAGGGTCATCTGGCAGCAGCTTCTTCCCAGGATACACTTCATCCAGGTACTCACATGTGATGACAGATTCACAAATCAGCTGGCCCCGGCTGTTCTCCAGCACCGGCACCAGACCAAGAGGGTTCTTCTCGAAGAACCACTCAGGTTTACTTTTCAGGTTGATATTGATGACTTCATGCCTGATAGACACATACATACAAGACGATGAAGAAAGCGAAACATCCTTTTCTACTTTGGAGTAACTCCTAACTGGTCCTACCGTCCACTTAGGGGTCAGTTCTGACGCCAGCTTTAGGAGTCAGTTCTGCCATGATTCCCTCCACACCTGTATTATTTTAAGAAACACCCTGTTATCAGTACCTCCCAGAAGTGGAATCATGCAATATGAGTCTTTCTGCCTCTCAATTAATCCCTTTAAAATAATGTCCTCAAGGTCCATCCAGTTGTCACATACTGCACAATGTGCTGCTTTGTAAAGGTGGAATGGTATGTATTCATTATTTTCTTTACCCATGCATCTGTTGATGGACACTATTGTCAATACTGCTGCAGTGAACATGGGCATTCTAGTATCCCTTTGACATGCTGGTATGAGGTGACTTCTTGAACTGTATCCACCACCCACGATGGGAATCAACATGTTAAAATTCATCTTATTCTGATTCAGTTCAAAATGAATCGACTCCATTGAATTCATCTGGCTAACATGAATAAAATATTCTTTGCTTTTCATAAGGCTATTAAAGAACACTAAAAATCCATTCATATAATGAACTTTCAGATTAAATCCTCATGTGTCGATGTTTCTAAGAATGTTGCATGTTTTTAAAAATCAAAGTAAAGCTGGGTGGCGCACACCTACAATCCCAGGACTCAGGAGGCAGGAGGATTGCTGAGAGTTCAAGGCCAGCCTAAACTATATAGTGAGGGGCTGGGGATTTAGCTCAGCGGCACAGCGCCTGCCTGGCAAGTGCAAGGTTGTGAGTTCAGTTCCCGGTACCGGAAAAAAACCAAAAAAATAAAAAAAAATAAACTATATAGTGAGACACTGTCTCAATAAATAAATAGTTCAACCACAGAGTAAACCAAAACAAGAGGAAATCAGGTGATATTCAGACTATATTCAGACTATAATAAGACCTACCTTGTATTTTGCCTGAGAGATTAGAGAAAGTAGGAGAAAGGAAAGTAGCACATAATTGTTAAAGTCAGGTCTATACAATTTTCAAAGCTGAATCAGTGTCCAATAGAACAGGCTACTCAAAAGCACTATACACCAAAACCTTTTGTTTCCTATTTTCCCATGCACAGCAGTAGCTAAAATAGCATTTCATCTCAGGATTTAAATATGTAATCCCTGCTGGGCAGCGCACGCCTGTAATCCCAACACTCAGAAGGCTGGAGCAAGAGGATCACTGAGTTTGAGACCATTCTGGGCTACACCGTGAGTTCAAAGCCAGCCTGAATTACATAGCAAGACCCTGTCATAAAAAAACCCAAAAAACTAAAAAAACTAACTAAATAAATACGTAATCCCCCGTAGAAAAAAAGATCAGCCAGTCTGAACACTAGCATGTGTGTGTGCATATATTAAAAAGTTCATGTGCTGACAGAACAGTAGGCATACTTTCATATCAACCATTACACGAAAGCCGAGCCTCCTTGCCAAAGAACAATCAATATTTCTGAACATTTATACTGTGAAAACAAAAGGTAGGTCCTGGGGTTTGGGGATCGAAAGTGTCTTAGAACACACATGCATTTTGTTTGCTTGGCATTCGGAGCCCTGAGTGAGGCTGGGCCAACAAGCCGGTGCGCAGGCACACCATGCGTCTTCCCGACCCAGTCCGGCTGACCTCTGGTGCAGCTCTATCGGGAAGGGACTACCTACCTCCCTAGGACTCCTCTACCATTCAGGTAAATACTTTCTCGGATCCTTTACAAATCTGTCCACGGGAGACAGGGAAAGCGCATGACTCTGTACCCCTAACTCCAGCTGTGTCCCACTCCTGGGCTTTTCCATTCCATGAGTCCAAGGAAAGTTTTTTTTGTTTGTTTGTTTTTAAATCCAGTTTGAATTTCTCTTACTTGCAATAAGAGTTCTGACTAATACAGCAAATATTTGTTTTAGATAAACATTAGTAAATAATTCTGTGTGTTCAAGATTACGATTTGATTCACAAAATGCACGTTTTAGTGAAAGGACAGCTAGTCAGAAAAAAAATTTTTTCTTAACAAAAAAAAAGAAAAAATTTTTTCCTTTCAGATGCAGCTTACATTTCTTTCAAGGAGAAGAAACCAATTCTCCCCTTAGAAGAGTTAAACTAGTTTACAAACTCTAAGCACAAACGGAAAATTTCTTAAGAATGGGCTGTGTTGTAACCTACAGCAAAGCTTTCTACAACACAGGTCTCTAACAAATGTCTGCCTTTCCAGGTCACCGGAAGAGAAGTGGTTCCCATCAATCCTGGGCATCAGGGGAAAGCCCAGGGACTCGTCCAACGTAGAGAGCCCATAGGCCGGCAGCCACTAGTTCCCCAAAAGGAAGGCACTTGCTGTTACTTAACTAAGGCAGCAGTGCAGTCCGTGGAACCGTCCCCAGGCCAAGTCCCTCTGCACTCTGCCAGCAAGACCCAGCAGGAACTTCGTGCTGAGGGAAGTTACTACTCAGGGAGGGGCCGTGCTCTCGGGGTAACAGCCGGACAAGCACGCAGAAGAAAAGTGAAGCGGGAGAACTCAGGACCAGGAACCCGGGTCCTCCCGGGGCTGAGGCAGCTGCTGCCAACGACCACAGCGACCCTTCCCAAGAGCGATTCTGGCAAACCACGGAGGTGACTGCTCCCGGCCCTTCCATTCCATAAGGCTGACCCAAACGGGCCGACGGGCCGAGGCTCTGTAACCTGCGGCGTCCCTCACAAAAGGCTGAGAACACCGCGCCTTTCACACGAAGAAGGAGCCCGAGGGCCCCGTGAGGCCCCCTCCAGCCCCCCGCACCCCGCTCTCACCGGATCCCCTTGGCCAACAGCACCAGCAGCGTCCTCTGGGCGTACGGGCAGAAGCGCATGCTGTAGACGCGCACCACTCCCTCCGGAACCGGGCCCGGGGGCGCGCTGCCTGCGGGACGGGAGCGGGGGTCGGGGGCGGTTAGGGCGGAGACCCGAACCCCCGCCCCTGCACCT